TGGATCCCTCTGACAGTGTAATGCTTGTGGCAGCCCTTAAAAGTGAATGTAGGGGTCACAAGGAGGTCACAGCTGTCAGACTGCAGTCGGGAGCCAAACCACAGTGTCCTCCACAGGCTCAGCAGAAGAGCACTTAACAGGCCTGTTAACAGAGATGCTTTGTGTGTAACACCATAAAATTCACCAGGAACATTGCCTAGTATATCTTTAAATGCAGATTTTCATTTTCAGCAATTTCACCATCTTCATGTAACCACAATTACTCTTCCTTATATTATGTTTTCTTATTACAAATGGTCTGTAGTGTAAGTGCCTTTGAGATCTGGGGTACTGCAGTAGGGCCTTGCTCGCTGTGACCAATGAGGCCTTAAATGCGGAGATTTACTGCAGCATCACCTCACACTTGGAGTCTGGTTTTGGCCATAGTCCTGAGAGAAGTTTGATGAGAGAGTAAAGAGGGAGCAGGAGCAGCCTGTCGGGGACCATGGGGGGTAGATTTAGAGATGGATAATAATCTAATAACCTCTGCTTTATGTCAAATTGTGTTAAGTGTTTCTCCATTGGGGCAGCCTTTGAGAATTGTTGGTCTTTCTTCAAACTTTATTTAACTGGACTTTCTATCATGAGTCATGACTTTGTGCAAAAAAGTTGCTATATTACACAAAAATGACCCTTGTGAGCTTTAAATCATGTTGTAATGTTTCCTCATCAAAACCATACCTGGAGTTGTGTTTTGTTTCATTCACAGATATTTGAGTAACCCTTTATTATTACTTTTTCTACATCTCCAAAGCTCAAAATGCTCTGTTCCACCTTGTGATATCATGAAGTGGTAGTTTCAAGTTAACAGTTACATTTTACTTTTTGTTCAGTATACGTTGGCAATTTGAATTAATTAAAGGGCCCATATTACTCTGTTTTCTGATCTACCTTATAATGTTTCCTCATCACCAACCTATCTGGAGTTGTGTTTTGTTTTATTGTCACATGTTTAACACACAAATCCTACATATTCAGGAAGTGCTTCACTGTGTTTTTAAACTCCCTATGCCTTCACTAGAATGATTTCATATCTGGAATTGCCAATCTCTACTGAACTTAATTTAAAAGGTAGCTATTAACTTGAAAACTACTGCTTCATGAAATCACAAGGTGGAACAGAACATTTTAAGCTTTGGAGATGTAGACAGACTAATAATGAAGGGGTACTCAAACATGTGGTAGTTTCAAGTTAACAGATATCTTTTACTTTTTGTTTACTTTACATTAGCAATTCCAGGTTGAAATTATCCAAATCAATTTAGTGATGGTGCATGGAGTTTAAAAACAAAGTGGAGCTTTTCCTGTATTACCACATAACATCTCAAGGTCAAGAGTCTTTTCTGTTTGAGTGAAGAACTCAGCCTAAATATGCAGGGTTTGTGTTGAGGAAAAACAACATTATAACATAAGAAACAACATAACATAGATCAGAAAGTACAGTATGGGCCCTTTAAGCCTTGTTACATATTTATTTAGGCAATTTCCTTTCATTTTGAGTGTAGCTGCACAATTGGTTTCTGTCAGAGTGCAGACTATCTAGCTAACAATGTATTTTATCAAAGTTTGAAAACAACTTTACATTGTTATATTTTGTGACAGAACCATAGAAGGATAAATTCATCCCAGCATAACTGAGCTACCAGTCAACTCAAACATTATAGAGAAAGGGGCCAAATGCTTTACCATTCCAAAACCAATATTCTAGAAATAATATGAGTTCTTAGTCTTTTCTACAGAGAATAAGCAGCTGTTCCTTATGACTGTTTCCAGTGTTTCGAGACTAAACATTTGGTCTCTAAATCTGCACATTTTGTTGAATAAGTAGCAGGATAATGGACATTCTCACTTGTATAAATGATCAGAATAAACTATTACTGGTATATTTGGAAAAAAATATCATCCCTATGTAGGCCTATCACCATAATTACAATATCAAATTATCGTCGACTATATATTAGATAGAACACTAATTTTGGGGGTCGATATTTATCGTGGGCACTTTTTCTTTGTACTAGTGTGAAACTTTTTGCTATTTTTCTGTTCTAAGATTAGATTTGAGCTGTAGAAGGTTGAATAAATAAATTCTATGACTCATTAGACACACGAACTAACTATTAAAGTGTTTCATGTTTTTCAGCCATTTTGTACATAACATTTTTTTTCAGTTAATTGTGTCAGTGGTATAAATTATTATCATATATCATCTGTATTTTCTTCAGCATTATAACATACTTCAAAATTTGTTGTTGTGACAGGCCTAGCCTTATGTTGTCACTACAAGTGGTGTTAAAAACTGGTGTCACTCTCATCATTGTCATCTGTCTGTAACTTGTTGTGGAATAAGCTGCTATAGAAGCATATAGCAGAATCAATAACGCTGTGTATTTTGTTTGCACTGCAGTATGTTTAGGCATTTGTCAGCTCGACTGGAGTTCTGCTGCTGCTTGGTACCCTGAAGATGTTTGCTCCCTTTTGACTCTTGTTTACATTGAAAGCACTATATGTTCCCAGCTGCTGAGTGAAGAAATTCATGCTTTTGCAGCTGTGAGATTTTGTCACAATCATCAGTGTTGCCAGTGTCGAAGTACTGGGGCTGACAGAGTATTGTTGTTTACTGCGCAGTGAGAAACATGGCTCTCCTCGATCATCAATAAAACATAGAAGGCAGACGTTGCAGAGATGAGATGGCGATGCAGTGACAGTAAAAAGATGAAATAGCCTATTACTTTTCATTGATCTGCGTGCCCAATGGGAGGTGCGCTGTGAAACAAAGGCTCTCTGCGTTATCCAGTGTATGCAGGTTGACAACAACAGGACTTTTGTATGTTTCTAGCTGACACACTCACCATAGCAAATCACCTGCCTCCTTTAGTCAGCAGTAATGTTGATTTTAAATTGGTTAACCATTCTGAATTAAAGGGCCCATTTTACTCTTATTTCCTGATCTACGTTATAATGTTGTTTCCTCATCACAAACACACTGGGAGTTGTGTTTTGTTTCATTCATACATGTTTAACACACAAACCTACCCTGCATATTCTTCTTTCAAATAGACAACACTCTTGTGATCTCATGTGGAAATACAGGAAGTGCTCCACTGTATTTTTTAAACTCACTATGCCTCCACTAGAATCATTTGTGTGATTTCAGACCTGGAATTGCCCATCTCCACTAAAATAAAGGTAAAAAGTATTTGTTAACTTGAAAACTACTCCTTAAGGACATCACAAGGTGAAATAGAGCATTCTGAGCTTTATAGATACAGACAGACTAATAATAAATGATTACTCAAACGTGCGGATGAAACAAAACAGAACTCCAGGTATGCTTTTACATTATAATATGACATAAAGTTCACAAGAGTCAATTTTGCATAATATAGTACCTTTAACTATGATAATCATGCCCATCTACACCAATGTAGTTCCTTTTATGTGAAAAATAGGCTTGTCATAATAACACATTTTGAAGCACAACATATTTCTACAGAGAAATATAATAATATGATAATCCCAGTAAACCATTTTAAACACATAGTATCATTAAATAGCCTGAGCTGCAACTAATAAATTACAGAATAAACCAATAATTAGCCATAGACGTGACTTATTCAGCCTTCATCAACTCAAATCATATTACAACTAAATTCTTCTCATTATTGCAAAGAAAATGAACACATAAATATTGAGCCCAAAATATATATTATTTCAGATTTCAAATGTTGAACTGTTTGAATTGTTGACATAGTGATTATTATGACAGGCGTAGTGAAAAGGTATGACTAATTCAACGAAAAATAGCACATGTGTTTTGTAATAAAAACATGTTGTTACTTGTTATGGTGACACTGACTATCCTTATTTGAATTAATTTATTTAAAAACAAAGCTCACGTTCACATTTATGACAATACAACAAAAAAAAGGATAATTTTCTTTTATTGTTTTGCTGTTTATACAAGAGGCTAATCATAGTCTCCTCTTTTCATGTTCTTTGTCACAAGAAAAACCTTTATTGTGAATTTGTATTTGTCTGTACAAATAACAAAATTATTGTTATGAACTGCAGTAAATGAATGCCTCTATAAATGATCTGAACCACATTTTATAACAAATCCTCATACCATTGTCATCCAGGGTCACAGTCCAAAGCTAAAGGCTAACTAATGCTCTTTGTCTATTGTTTTGCCTCAAACAGTGAAACTCAGTGGGTCATTGTGTGTGTGCGCGTTTATAATGCAGTTTTAGCCTTTTCCAGAAAAGAATAATGTGGTTGAATTTCAAATCAAATCACTACAGCGTTATTGCGGAGGCTTTATCTGCTGTTTGCTGATGTCTCAGATTTGATCCATATGAGAAGACTAAGGCATTTGTCTTTGTGACTGTCAGCAGAAGAGAAAACCTACATGTGGCTTAGGCTGGCTAATTTCATATTTGCTTGACTCGCTTATTATAGGGACCTCTTTATCACATTGTTTTGGCAGATTTTATGGCCAAATGGCTTTTTAACAAATAAAATTTATAGTTCAACTGATTATCTACCTAGATATTATTGTCTAATTGTTTAATATCTTATTTAAGCTAACATTTTAGGTAGTAGCTCATCTGGTTGAATATACATGAGTTATCTGGGTTTGAAAAAGGATATACGGCAATATATCGGACCGATATTAGGATTTTTTTGTGTGTATCCACTGTTGGCCTTAAAACTCCACCAGCACCTGCATCTTGAAAATATCCTTTAGAATACTTTAGTGTAAATAGGTAACTGTTGAAAAATTACTATACAGCTTGCTTATGGGTTGGTGGTGAAAAAGGGCTATGGGTTTTTAGTAAATTTAAATTATATTATTTGTGAAGTTTGTCTCTGATGATTTGATGAAATACTAAAATGTCCAATATTTGCTTAAAAGTCATACTGATTTCTTGTGCATTCACTCAAGTTGTTTTCCTCTACAGGCCAATCTCAATGACTCCCATAACCAGATGGTTGTCCACTGGGCCGGAGAGAAGAGCAATGTGATCGTAGCCTTGGCTCGAGACAGCGCTGGAGCCACGGGTCCCAAAACCAGCTCGGTCAGTACAGCAAAACTCTGATTCAGCCACAGAATAAGATGTAATATGTGAAATAACTGATATTCACTGGTTTTGTTTAGGTTTACGTTTCCTATGACTATGGGACAAATTTCGCACTGGTGTCCGAGAAGTTTCAGCTGACAGGGGCCAAAGCTAAAGATGGAAACAAGCAGGTCATCTCGCAGTTTTACCACAGCCCTGCGGACAATAGGAGGGTGAGTTAATAGCATTTACCAGCACCTGGTATCTAATAAGGACTAGAAAAACAATACAGAAACATAGAAAGAGGGCTACAAAACCCAGACTTGTTTTGTGGTGCGTCACGGTGAAGCAAGAATGTAATAATATAGAGGTGGTATTTAAAAAAGAGCAGACTATTTCCTGAGCATACTTGACAAATTAGATTTCTTCCAAAACCCCAAAAGTATATTCTGCTTTTCATAACATAACATAACAGGGTTTGAACAGTATCCAGAGAAAGTACATTCGGGAATATTTACTGCTAAATAACTCATCATAAGCAGGAGATACTGGAAGTGAAGTAAGCTGAAAGAATTAGCATTTTCATCACATAAATATAATAAGTTCAAATTCTTAGACTGATGTAGTGTTTACTTAGTTGTTTTCCTGACATGTTAACAGTTGAAATTAAGTCACAGACACAAAAATGAACACACTAAATAAATAGCATGGAGTGCGTGCACCTGTTGCTAATCCATTAATCTAGCAACTAATTGTTAGAGACATTTTGGCTGCGTTCAGACTGCAGCCTGAAGTGACCCAAATCCGATTTTTTGGCTTCTATGTGCCCTGTATCCGATCTTTTAATGACAGTCTGAACGGCACAGATGCGAATTTTTCAAATGCGACCAGGGCCACTTGGATATGTGGTCCTGAATCCGATACATATCCGATCTTTTGAGATGCGACTTCAGTCTGAACGGCCAAAGCGCATCCATCCGACCTACACGTCATTAACAAGCGACAAACGTCACTATTCTGCGCTGAAGCAGGCGGAAACCGGAACTGTAAAATCGCCAGGTGCTCAATGCTCGCGACCATATTTGGACAACGTCCGTAAACACAGAGCACGCTCGCTGCGGTTGACGCATGGGGTTGACGTCATCGTGTCCTCCAGTGTGCATGCGGGACACTTTCGGGCCGTTTACTGTTCACACTGAAGTCACAGACAAGTCGCATTTAATTGGAAATGTGAACGACCTCGCAAAAACATCGGATTTCACAAAAAAAATCGGAATTGAGCATTAAGCCCTGCAGTCTGAACGTAGCCTTAGATGTTTAGGGTTGACCCAGATAAAGCTAAAGTGAAGCTGCTTGAAGCCATCCTAATGTGGTATATTTACCATTCCAGTAATCACTTAAAGGTGCACTGCTTAACTTTTCTTGTGGAGGGTCTGTCATTTGTTTATTTTTGCTTTGCCTGGAATGTTCCACAATGCCACTAGGCCTAGTTAGTTATGCATTTTCTGCAAGGTAGTATAAGCAATAAAAAAACTGTACTCATCTCCATGGAGACAAGCATCAGAAAATTTCCACTATGCACATTTTAAGCTTAAAAATTATTCAACAGCAACCACAGACTGTAGAAATGGATGCAGGACACAACCTGCTCGTCGCTCTATTCCAAAAAGGAAGTGAGCATGGGGTTGTTTCCGGCTCCATCAACATTGGCTCCGATTCACTTTGTACTGATAAAACGTTGCCCCTCTCTCCATAACTGCTGATGTCAGGCTCCTCATTTTGGTCTTAAAACATTTGTATTAACTAGAGCCCGACCGATATGGATTTTGCTGTGGCCGATATGAAACCGATATAATGGGAGTTGGCGCTGCCGATAGTCGATATAATCGCCGATATATTTAGTGATGTAAAAATTCACTGTAAATGTTGAATTGTTTAAAAAACTTAGGTTTGGCTCTGGTGGATTTTAAATTGGGTTTATTTAGGCAACATTTATTGTTATTCTGCCTCTTTACATCATATTTCCAGACAGTAGGTTGGCTTAATGGCATTTTTGCGTCACATTCTAGACACTAGTGATGGGTATTCCAGTTCTTTTTAGAGAACCGGCTCTTTTGGCTCGGCTCACTAAAAGCTGCTGATTCTTTTGGCTCCCAAGCGACTCTTCAGATTGTTTTGTTGCAAGCAGGTCTAAAGCACGTCTAAAGCAGGACTGAATCAGGACTGAACCAGGTCTAAACCAGGACTGAAAAAGGTCTAAACCAGGACTTATATATTTTATGCTAAACTACAGCCAAATATGCTCGTTTTTTGTTTTTTTTTTTTTTAATCCTATGTACACGCAAATTTCTCAAAGTTTCGTTTTTAGCCGCTGCCGCCGTCAAACCACGAGTCTGCACGCGGCGTGAACAGGAAAAAAGTGAGAGAAAGAGAAAACACGGCTCCCAATAAGGATCAGGCTCCCGTCGTTCGCTTCAAAGAACCGGCTCGAAGAGTCATTTCGTTCGCGACGGACCCATAACTAGTAAAGAAACTAGCGCTATTAGCCTTTAGCCGTAAATGCTGCGCGCCGCGGTAATTAATTATATGCGCAAATGTCATAATTCACACGTCTATTCACAGCTCATTTCCATATCAGTGCTGGTCCAGTAACAAATATACGGCCAATGTAGTCAATTTACAATATGCCAATAGAAAACAGTCTGTTTATGTGCGGGAGCTACAGCAGCTAACCCATAACGAATGACTAAAACTAGCTTCAAAGTCGACATATTTCCAACACTCACCGCTCATACAGGCTCCTCTCACATCACAAGTCTGCACTAATAAATGTCCTTTTAATTCAGACTCAAACCTATTGTCCGTAAAAAGAATACAATCTCAATGTTTGGATCTGTGTCTGCAGGTGTAAACAAACACACGTAAGTGACGCGACTCTATGGTGTGTTCAGGGACAATACGGACACACGCACGGATAAATGACTCCGTAGATAAATACTGATGGGGAGCCACATATTAGGACATTTATCTGTCTGTAAATTGGATTAAATGAACATAATGTAGAGAGTCTAAAATTTTTAACGACGTATCACATGCCCACGTGAAATATCGACCCCTATCAGCAAGCATATCGGCCGATAGCCGATATGCCTCGAGGTGCCCATATCAGCCGATAATATCGGCCAACCGATATATCGGTCGGGCTCTAGTATTAACCACTCTACATGATCTTGGTGTTTTTATTTCACCATTTTGTCTGTAAATAAAGTCCTATTCCTAATATGGAACTGGCTCCAAATTTGCCCCTTTAACAGCGAGCATCATGAGCTTCATTTGACTGGAGCAGAACACTATGGGTGACATTACACTAAAACATTGCTATGTAAGCTAATGTGAGTTGTAGTTGGTTTCTCGGTTACCTTATTATCTTGTATTTCTCAGTAGTATTCATTTTGAGGCCCATTGTCTGTGCAGGGATGAAGCTGAAGGAGATGTTCTGTTCAGGTGATTTATTGCTCGGCTTCAATATCACTGATACAAGGCTCATAGTGTGAGTCAGCAGCAGCTCGGAGCTCAGCCTCGCATAGAAACATGACTGTGTGTCTGTGAGAGGAGGGCTGGGTTTCTAAAGGCTGTTTGCCAAAGGGTCATCTGTCTGCCTCATATGGGCTCAGTCCAGACAGATAGAGTGTGCAGTGGTGGCACTAGAAAACATAAGGAACATAAAAGTATTTTCTCCCTACACTATAGTGTGGGGTCCAACCATATTACAAAACAGGTCCTGAGGTAGTAGTTAGTGTGTTAACAGCCGCCTTTTACTTCTATTTCATTAAAGATGGGGAATTCCAGGGCTGAAATTATCCATAAATATGCAGGTTTTATGTGTTAAGCATATGTGAATGAAACAAAACAAAACTCCAGGAATGTTTATCATGAGGAAACAACATTATGACAGATCAGAATATAGCATATATAAAGCCCTTTAAAAATTGAATTAAGATTGTGAAGGTTTTCGTCAGACCATTTTAACAATTCTGTCAGTTAAGTTTGTTTTGAAGTTGGGTGTTAGTAATTCAGTTTATTAACAAGAGATCTGGTGACTAAAATGCATGCACACTTGCACAACAGTTAACCACTGGTCAGATTAGAACATTACGCAGGCTGATATTGCTTCACTTATCTGCACTGGGAAGTTTGTAGTCCTCACTTCTTGCTGCTAATATCTTTTAATAAACTGCTTCGTTTTAGAATGATTGTTATTTGTCTGCATTATAATGTGAACATCATAAAAGTATTATAAAAAACAGAAAAGGCACACCACCAAACTTTCTTTTAAAACTGTTTAGCATTTGGTCTACATAACCAGATTAAGATCCATTAGTTAATTTGCACCATTAGTTCAGTTTATACTTGCAGGTGACAGAATGATGAATTATTAACATTAAGCTTGGGTTCTAGATCTGTCTTTGAGTTGATTTAAGAGTGTACCAGCTGTGCCCCTCCACCCACAACCACACTGGTCTGGTACACTGTGAAGTGCTGATTTATCAAATGAGCTTCTTTAAATAATGAAATTGAGCACATTCGAGGAATTTTTGAATTCAATGCCTCAGATTCCATTGGGACTTTCTTTCTTATGGCCGAATTATAGTTCTGCATCGACTCAATGCAATCTGCCGCCATTGTCTCTTTGCCATTGTTTTTGATTTAAGGATCTGCTTTGAGGTCTATCCGCTGCGAAGTAATTCGCTGCCACAACGCTAGGAGGCTAGGATTTAAAACTGGTGTTCGTGTATACAAAATGCAACGGGAAAGCGGTGTACCGGAAATGTATGTAGAGCGGATGTAGAGAGAATCAATCACAGCAATTATTATCTGCTTTGCTTCCTGTGTCGTTGCTTCCTCTGTCTGTGTCATTTCGATGTGTAGTTAAAAACTTTTGGAGGTGCATGTTTGTCAATGCAGACACTCTGTGGAGGGGGTTCATGGCCACACAGAATCTGCGTTGTAACGCAGACAATTTGACTCACAACCATAAATTGGTCTTAACACGTCACTGCTCTTGGAAACAACTCAACATTTTGCTTTAATGTATAATGATGATGGATGAAAATAAATTTTCTGTTGCATTTTTCTAAATCAATTTAATTTTCTCAGCGCAGTAGAAAATTTGGAAAGGTATGTTTTTTTGACGAGGAATCAACATTATAACACAGATGAGAGAATGGTGTAATATGGGCCCTTTAAATACTTGACAGCTGACAGTTCTGTTATGGCTATCTTGAACTTAAATGCAATATTGGGCTAGTTAAAATGAGCCGATGGGCTTTAGTGCTACATTAAACATGAACTAAATCATCATCTTTTACTTGAAATGACAGTGAGCGCAGCTTTGTCTGTGGTCTGCGCCCTCCTCTCTGCTCTGAGGCAATGGTCATCAGTGGAGCACAAAATGAACTTATAAATGTGGATACATACCGTGAGATTAGATAGGCAAAGCTATGAATACAAATGTACCTCACACAAAGGCAAAAGGAGCATCTCAATTTCCTTTGAAGAATGCACACTGTTGTATATATGTATGTATATATATATATATATATATATATATATATATATATATATATATATATATATAGCTGTTAAAGGGTCTTATTTTTACTGTCCTAAAATCTTGACAGAACTAGTTCATTTTAAACTGTAGTCCTGAGTTCCAAAGTTATTCCTCTCAAGTACTTTTCCCAACTTTGAGAGGAGCTTTGTCGTCACATTAATGTAGTATATTAGCAGCTCACCAGCCTTACTTCCAGGTTTGCAGATGATAAAAATGCTCTATAATTTCCTGCAGAAAGCTCACAGCATTCTTTTGAACTGTTCTTACATTATATCTGTACTGGGGCAAAACTATTTTTACTTTATTTATCATGTACATTCCCTTTAATTTGTTGTTGTCTCACTAGTGTATTATTTGTTGTTTCTTTTCCAGTATCTTTTTGTGGACTCTACCAACAACTTCTTGTGGAACACATTTGACTTTTGTAAGACTGTCCAGGGCTTCTCTCTGCCCTTCAAACCTATCGATCTGCTGCTGCACAACCGCAAGTCCAACCTGGTTCTTGGATACGACAGCTCCCACCCAAACAAACAGGTAAATGCTGTACCACCTTGAGATGGGTTTGGCCGGATTAATGTATAGATGGGAGCTGTGCTTTCATCAGTCAGACCCAAGTCCTACCCCCACTGAGTATGGAATGAATGAATAATGCAATATAAGTGTTTTAGTCGTCATCAAAGGCACTCACTATTATCTATAAAGCCATTCTTCTCCAGACAGTTAGCATTGACAATTCACCGGGGACATTTCTATGTATTTACCCCTCTATCCATTAAGCCACAAACTTATAACAAAATTCTAAAGATTAAATTAGTTTTCAATCAAGGAGCAAACCAGGATTAAACCAGGGCTAATTCCAGACTACGGTAATCAGGTTAAGAGTGTTCTTAACTATAAAACTGGGCCTAAACACATAGACCTGTCACAATAATTATGGTATCATCTTTCGTTCAATATATGAAAGCTGGAACAATATATTTTTGGGGTCAGTATTTATCATGTGTATATTTTCGTGTACATAACTGTGATTTAATTTTTTTTTGGCTACACAATAAGATTTAAGCCATGGAAGTTGTAATTAATGATTTCTGTGACTCATTACGACTCCTTATCATTTATCCTCTATATTAACTATTTACTGCAAAATATCATACTTCAGAATTTGTTATCGTGACAGGCCTATAAACACATCAAAACCAGAATTGTTGACTTCTATACACATATAACTGGCTCTAAATGAGTCATGACTTGAACAAAATGTGTGTGCAGTATCAACATACCAAGATACAATTTCACCAAATTCTTGTTGAAAGTAACTCGTCTGGCAGCCCTTTTTTCACAACAATAGCTGTGTCCAAGTTGCCCATCTGAGCCCAGCGTTTGTGTTTTGTTCTCAATATGCTTTGGTTTTCAGCTCCTGATTTCACACACAATAGCTCCAAACGGCTCCTCACTCCTCTCTTTGTCACGTGTGTAGCAGCAAAAACGTAGAAAGGAGGTTGACCTACATTTTTACAGTGCACCATCCCCCTACTTCTTCTACCACTCTTTTTTCACTCTCCTCTCTCTCTCCTGCTCCACAGCTCTGGAAATCAGATGACTTTGGGGAGACTTGGGTGTTGATACAGGAGCATGTAAAGACCTACTTTTGGTAAGACTCATGTTGTCACCTCCTCTTCTCTCATAAGCACAAATGACCTGCTACAGTGCCTCTCAAACTGCAGTACACGTTAAAGGGCTCATGATCTATGTTATAATGCTGTTTCCTCATCAAAACCATACCTGGAGTTTTGTTTCATTCACACATGTTTAGCACACAAATCCTGTGTTCTTCTCTCAAAGATAGCACTCTGTTCCAACTTGTGATGTTGTGTGGAAATGATTCACTGTTTTTAAGATCCATACACCATAAACTCCATTCACTAGAATAATTTGGGTAATTTCTAATCTCTACTAAACAAAAGGTCAAATGGAGCTGTTAAATTGAAAACTACCTCTTCATGACATCACTAGGTGGACCAGAGCGTATGGGGCTTTGGAAACAGAGTAATAGCTGAGGATTACTCATGTGCGAATGAAGCAAAACACAACTCCTGGTATGTTTTTGAAGAGGTAACAACATTCTAACACACTTGAAGGTAGAGTCAGTTTTGTGTAATATAGAAACAAGAGTTTGGATTATCCATTTGCTTACTCAGAGTATTTATTAACAGATTAAAATGAATGACATAGAGAGGTCAATTTTTAACTGTAAGGCATTGTGTAAGATTGCTGGTATCAAGCAATTTGAGATCCAGTACATTTTTAGTTGGTTCTGTGCTGAGTTGGTCCATATGAAAAAACAACTAACTACCAAATATTACAAATGTAGACCAGCTCTAGCTATAGACAAGGTTGAACAAATAAAATCCTTACAAACCCAGTCGAACTTCCCACCTCATACAAATACACAATGCACCATTCAAATAACAAGAAAAACAAGATTCTGTCACCAGCATTCCCTCCCCCATATCTTATAATGCTAAAGAAGAATAGTATGAATCAGACATTTCCAATTTTGCAGCTCCCAAAAGCCAAATAACTTCTCTATGAAACCATGAATATAATTTACATGCATCTACCATTCTCCCATCCAACAGTCATCCACAACTCAAAGAAAGACTGAACAAGGAATGAAATCTGTCTATTGTTAAGGAAGCTTTTACTACATACCTCTCCACCTGCTGTAATATTTCTTCTTCTTGACATCTTTTCTACTGGGCTTGTCAAAAATACCCCACAAATTCCTAAGACTGTTGTCATTGTCAAGTATAAAACAATGTTACCTTTGGTAGAGGCTTGAAGAAACATCACTGGATATTTCAAGGACATTTTGACTTATTACTCGAAATTGACTCTTGTTAACTTTAAGACATGTTATAATGTTGTTACCTTATCAAAAACATACCTGGAGTTGTTTTGTTTCATTCACACATGTTTGAATAACCCATTATTATTAGTCTGTCTACATATCCAAAGCTTAAAATGCTCTGCTCCACCTTGTGATAACGTGAAAACTACTGCTTCATGACAACAGCTACCTTTTACTTTTAGTGCAGTAGAGATTGGTAGTTCTACGGCTGAAGTCATGCAAATGACTCTACTGAAGGAGTTTAAAAACACAATGGAGAGGTGGCTGTTTTACCACTTGGCATCATAAGATGGAACTGACTGCTTTTTGTTTTAGAGAAGAACTCTCTAAAATATGCCTGCTTAAACATGCAGGTGCTGTGGGTTTAAAGTGTGAATGAAAGAAAAAGATGACTTTAAGTATGTTTGTGATGAGACAAACAATATTATAACAGAGATCAGAAAATAGTATAATATGGGCCCTTTAAAGGAGACGGCACATGATATTCTCATATTGACCCTAAGAACCTCTTTTTCAGTGTATGTACTGGCAAAAAACTTATTTTGTTTATTACATGGAATAAATTCAGTACTGCCCCTTTAAGCACCTAATTTTCTCTCTCATTTGTAATTATACATTCCCCTCTCTGATGGGTAGACTACAAGCCAAGGCCTAATCTTATTTACTTTAGAACAGTCCATGTTTGTCTTCTGGGAAGGGTGGGTGTCATTATTCACTTACACAACATGAACAGTCTAGAAGAGGAAGTGGTATACTTTCACTTTACCCTCCCCTGGCCTGCTTGTGTTAGCTGTTGTTTTATTTGGGGGTGAGGGCTGTATCCAAGGCAATGAAAAGCAAAAAGCATTTTGTAAGCATCCATGATTAAAATTATAATGTTTACTCACCAACACTTGATGGAGAGTTGATGGATAGAGTAGTTGTAGTATGTGGCTTGTTTGTGTTTATATCTTGTAATCAAATGTTTCTGGCAAATGTGTGCATAGATTTAGCAGCTAGGTTTTTTTTCCAGACCAAGCAGTGCTACCCACATATACAGCTGATAAGGCGTTGGACAAATTGGGTTTTGAATAATTTAGTTTCACAACAATACATCACTCACTCGCAACCCACTTTCTCAGCCTCTAAATGGAGTATTTGTTAGCAACTTTGCCTTGACCAAGAGTCACCATTCCCCGCTGGCTTTTCTTCAAATAGAATTAAATTTATAGTTTGTTGATTTAATATATAATTTTGCACTCTTTTGTTTAAAAGTGAACTAGTTTTGAGACTAAACTTTGGCAAACAGTCATGTGGTACTCTCATTATATAACTATGACTGTATGACACTGGGTGAGGCCTTGAGAAAATTATTGCAAATGAAGCGACTGAGCATGTTCATTCTGATTTCGGGTATTGAAATAGGGGTGCGCGATATAATAAAAATAATCCCATTCATGATTTTCACAGTTCAACCATCCATTTTTTTCCCACTTACTAGTAGTTTTACTTAAGTTGCAGGTAAAACTACTTCTTTCTTCTGAGAGTAATGCATATCTGTGTATATAGATTAGGGATGCACCGATGTGTTATTGGATAATGGCGCTGATACAGATAAATATATGGTGGATCGGATATTGGCTTCCAAATAACAGCACAGCCAGTATCCTGGATGGACATTTACAAAGATGTGATAAGACTATTTTCTGGTTTTAGTTGACCCAGAAAGTCTCAGAATGACACTTATTTATACAACTTTGTTCTGTGGTTACCTTAAGGATAAATAACAGCTCCATAACACATTTGGATCAGTTTTGTCTTATTTTATATTTGTTTAAAGAATGCTGTTAAATGCTGTTTTGAGTCTGCACTGGTATTGGCTGATATCAAGTATTGGCAGAGTATTGGTAAAGTATCGGAAGCGGTATTGGAACTGAAAAAGATGGATCCTTGTATCCCTAAATAGATAAAGAAAGAGCAGGTAAATACTAGTTACAACCTGATGCAATAAAGAATTTGTATATTAGCCAAGTGATGGTATAATTAGGGGTGTCAAATTATCGCGTTAATTGCGATTAATTAATTACAGTCATATTTAGCGCGTTATGTTTTTTAATCGCGTTAATCTCATTTTTAATCTCTAACTTTAGTGTTTCTGTATGTGAGTTTCTTTATTATAAAACCTGTTTTTATGTGTTGTTGGGACAACAACACACACACACAAAAAAACACATTTATAAATTTTTTTATTTCGGTAATTCCACTCATTGCCGGAAACCCACACAAAACGCGTGCAGTAAGAGCGATGTAAACGTCATGTTAACGTTGGCGGCATCAGTCACACAATGGACGAGGTCGAACAGCCAGTAGAACAGAGGCAGCAGTGCACAGGTAAAAACACATTCGTGTCTCGGAACTTATTCTCCCGACGTGAAATATAAAAGAAAATAACAAATATAATATCGCCTGAAAACAACCTGCATAGGCTCATGATGTCTGCACTACTATCCTATAGTGACCTGCCACATGAGGGGACACGCACACAAACACACACAAACACAAACACACACCTTCATCATCGTCATTCAACCTGAGAACGCGCGGACCACGTTTCCTTCCGTAGTTACTGCGCGGACACCGACGTGCTCCTGTGAGCCGCGTGTGGATCGTGTTTTCTCGCGTATGCGGCGTAAACCGCGCTTCCTCCTGTGCGCCTCTAAACCAGAACTAACACCAAGACTAAAACCAGGACTAATCCAGTCCAGGACTAAACCAGGACTAAACCAGAACTAAAACCAGAACTAAAACCAGAACTAAAGCCAGGTCTAAACCAGGTCTAAACCAGGACTAAACCAGGACTAAACCAGCACTAAAACCAGAACTAAAACCAGGTCTAAACCAGGACTAAACCAGGACTAAACCAGAACTAAAACCAGAACTAAAACCAGAACTAAAACCAGAACTAAAACCAGGTCTAAACCAGGTCTAAACCAGGACTAAACCAGAACTAACACCAGGACTAAAACCAGGACTTAATCCATTCCAGGACTAAACTAGGACTAAAGTAGGACTAAAGCAGGTCTAAACCAGGTCTAAACCAGGACTAAAACCAGTGATCTCATATATAAAGCACTTCTCTATCAATAATATTTTTAATATGTTTAAGGAAAGACTGGACTTTTTATTGTCTTTAAGTAGACAAAGGTTATTATGTTCAGATTTCCTCGTCTTTGCTACTTTACAGCAAACAGTTTCCTATTCATGGAGACTTGGGCTCAACAGCCAAATTGGAGAGATTTGTTACAATAAATGACTTTATAAAGTCATTTTTTTTGTTCTATATCAGTCTTTTGATCTGCCACAATAATGTGATAATGAATTTAAATGAAAATACCTCAAATTTAAGCTTTTCTCAGCAATTTTTAGGTGAGATTAAAATGAAATTAATTAGATTAATTAATTACAGATGATAATTAATTAATCTCTCAATTTTTTTAATCGCATGACAGCACTAGGTATAACACACTGCATTTATAGATAAGATGTTGCCTGAAAACTGCCCAAAATGAGACTGATTGGAGTTCTTGCTTCTTCACCCTTGTGTGCGTCTCTAATCCTGTTTGTTTAGGCTTTTGTGCACAGTGTTGTGTTTCCTTTCAGAGTGTTATAGACTGGACTATCTGTGAGGCAGCACTGAGCACAGAGCAAACCCAATCTGATGCACTGCCTCCTCACCCTTTGTGAACTTACTGCTAGGAGACAGGGACACACTGAGGAGCAAATCTGCTGTGTGCAGCCAAAAACATCCACCTTGGACAGACAATAATACTCAGCTTTTGTAAGGAAACTCTTCTAGTTTTTTCTAAGTTTTCCAAATTTACTGACCAAAACAAAAAATGTATAACATAAATAATACAGATAGATGCTTTATTAATTCCAAAGGAAATTTGAAGTTTGGCAGTAGCAACATAGAAACAAACATAAAAACATAGAAAGGATATTTAAAGTTAATGTTAGTTATAATAGATATATATTAATAGTTCAAGTAAAATGTGCAACCTCCAAATACCTTTAAACCCTTTTGACATTTTCACTTTATAATAGCTAAACTTTAATTAGCCTTAAGAAGCATGAACAACTTAATTCATAATGAACAAATAGTTTATTTTTATTTATACCATGGTAAGTGAGATGGCTGTGCATTATTTTTGTATAACCACGCTAGTAGTCCGGTAATAGTTATCACTACACTGTGAGCATCACCATAGCAACAGGTAAACAAATGAAATACTGTTAGGAGGGAGTATCTTCTGCTAAAACGGAAATAACTAATGCTTTGAACATCCATGGACAGAGTAAAGGTTTTCCAATTTAAAAGTGAACAATTTTCCTTTGGTGGGACCATGGTATAAATGGATTAAACAACTTGGAGCAGGGTGTTACACAGTTTTAATTTTACTCTACAGCATGTGTTAAAACTGATTTTAAAGGGCCCATATAACATGATTTTCTGATCTACATAATAATGTTGTGTCCTCATCACAAACATACCTACTGTTGTGTGTTGTCTCATTCACACATGTTTAACACACAAATCCTGCATATTTAGTTCTTCTCTCCAGATGAAAATACTCTGTTCCACCCTGTGATGTCATGTGGTAATACAAGAAGTGTTTTTAAACACCTTCAAACACAATCCTTATGATCATTTCAGCCCTGGCATTGCCAATTTCTACTGCATTTATGGTAAAGGGTAGCTGTTAATTTGAAAACTACCGCTTCATGACATCACACGGTGGAACAGAGCATTTTGAACTTTGGAGATGTAGACAGACAAATAATAAAGGATTACTCAAACATGTGTGAATGAAACAAAACATAACTCCAGGTATGTTTTTGATAGTTTCAATCTCAAAAGAGTAAATTTTGATTAATACCTTTAATCCTTAACGTAAAGATTATTAATACACCTACAACAAAATAATTGAGTATGGCAAGAAAACACTAACTGTTCATTTAAATATTACCAATGGCAGAAGAGGGTTGTATGTCAGCTGTTTGGGAGTAAGTGTCTTGAATTAAAAGGAGCAGGCCGTAGACAACGTGCCAATAGCCTGGTGTGCACTCTTCACCCAGGCCGTGTCCATGGGGTGAACAGGCCCCTTTCAGAGGCCGGGCTGGCTCTAACACTGCTCTCTCTGTTCTACTCTCCTCTCTCCTCAGGAAACGCCACTGATTTGGACGTTAACCACAAGACGCTGTGACTTTTTCATTCATTCCTCACTGACTACTTTCCAAAACATGCTGGCTCCTACACAGAGAGTCCAAAAAAGGGGTGACTCATAGGGAGATATTTTACTCAAATGTTCAAATTCAATGCAATTTATTTTTGTATAGCCCAAAATTAAAACAGCAGTTACCTTAACTAAATTGTTGATTTAAAATAGTTAGAAAATCAAACCATTAAACAGCCTTTGGTTAAAAACATACAAGCAAATCAATTTACAGGAAAGAAGCATGTGAACTGTACCAGGGCATCCTTTGTCCTTAGACCCTCCTTCCCAACAAGAAAAACTTTCTAAAAACTTATTGTGTCTGTCTTGTATATAGCTGAGAGGTATATTTGTATTATTCTATTTGTATATTTTTAATTTTTACTTGTACATATGCATTTGTATAATTGTGCCTTATTTGACTCTAGTCTGTTATTTTTTTCTACCCATTTTGAATTTGATTGATTATCATTCATATTTTTGCTCTTTGTCATTATAATTTATTGTGATATTTGAGTTACTGTGCCCAAATCATTTCCCTTGTGGATAAAGTTTGTCTTAGTCTAAGTAAAAAGATAAACCTTGAGGAGAACTACAGAGAAGAGAGATCCACTCCCATGAGCAGTTTGTAGATGCGCATTCATGTTGATAGCGTTTGGTTTAGATTTCATATTTAGTGCTTATGTACTTGGCCAGTGTCATAAAAATGGGAAGTTTTCATTAACTGAGTGAGTAATGAAGTTATTTTTGGACGTGTTGCCATTTACACTGTTCATGTTTCCAGACTGGCTCCTCAGGGCCATGTCTCGCCACTTTCACAACACTTTCTCCAATGAAACTTTTATTGTGGGCATGAATCATCTACAGCACAGGGCACACATAAAGGGAAACCTGAATTCAATACGATGCATTTGATCCCTCCATTTATTTGGATCCCCACGGTTTTGAATGGCCTAAATATTTTCTATTGCATTGTGAAAGTCAAGCCCTTTTTTTCTTTTTTTATGGGACAAGGTGTTACATTTGGCAATTGGACCCATGTTGTCAAATGTTCTTCATGACATCAGACCAGCCTTTTAAAATCTATTAATTAAATGCTCTCAACAACATCTACATACACTGTGTTATTTAAACTGCAAATATTGAACTGGTAAACTAATACAAGAATCACATCAATTTTATAACATGATTGTAGAGTTCTAAAGACAGGAGCAAGTACGATTGTGCTATCCGTATTGACTGATCACAATTTTTGACTGACTGACATATTTGTTTGTTTTTTAATCATAATTTTATGAACAGAAACAAGACCTGAATCAGTGCATTTTAACCCAAAAATGTCTTAAAAGTTTGAAATCTGCACCAGACTCACTGTTTTTACTGGCTTGGTATTGGCCTTTGATTTGTGTATAAAAAAAATCGCAAGCTCATCATTGACAATTTGAAAACGATATCAAATTTCAATAAAAATGTGATTAATGGCACAGTAGCATTCACCCACTGTGTTTTTGTCAATAGAATAATGCTTGAACTCTTGTAAATATGATTTTAAGTTGTTCAAACATGGATACAGTTTCATGTCTAAATTCCTCTGCCCTCTCTCCACAGGGGTGTGGAGCCCTATGACCCTCCCACCACTGTCCTGGTCCAGAGGCACGAGCCCCAGGGCATCTCCACCGTCCTCAGCAGCACCGACTTCTTCCAGAGTGAACAAAACCGCAGAGTCATCCTGGAGCAGGTGGACAGTTTCCAGCTCCGAGACAAATACATGTTTGCCACCACCACACGGGTCAGTTACACCTCTTATTACACACTCTGCACAATAAGTATGTAGTATGAGTACACAGCTGTGGGAGTATGTACTTATGTTTTGTAATGGTAAACCGCATTGTTTCATGATGTGCACACAAAGCAATGTGATCTTTTGAAAAACACTATTGTCTTAAGAATAGATAAGATTACAGATCTAAATGTCTATTCTGTTCCAACTTGTGATGTCATGTGGTAATACAGGAAATGCTCCACTGTTTTTTTTAATCTCCATTCACCTTCACTAGAACACAAGATGATTTTTGCCCTGGAATTACCAATCTCTACTGAACCGAAGGTAACAGGTTTGGAGCTTTGGAAATGTAGACAGACTAATAATAGGGTTACTCAAATGTGTGAATGAGACAAAACCCAACTCAGCTACCGGTTTGATGTGGTAACAACATTTGAACATGGCTTAAAGTTCACAGGAGACGATTGTATGTAATATAGAACCTTTAAAGATGTTGTTGAATGAATCACATTTCTTTCATTATGTTGTACATTTTAATGCATGCCTCTTTTGTCTTTTGAGTAAAACCTCAACACAATTACATGGCCCTAACAGACCTTTTGATCTATTCCAGTCTGTTTCTATTGTAAAGCTGTTTGCTATTGCTGTCTTGCTATTGTGGGTTGCTAATGTAGCGTTAGCATGCACAGACAGAGGAGCAGATGGAGTGTGATTTGGATGTGATGTGTCTGCTAGCAGGGACAGATTTGCTCTTGCTGTTGTCACACGCCTGCCTTGGCTTTAGCTAACAGAGAGCCATGTTCAGAAACAGTGGGTTTATGAGGTCCGCTGTGAAGATTTGTCTCATCTGAATATCAGCCCTCTGCTTATTTCTGAGCATTTAGTCACCACACTGGCTAATTGTTGTTTATTTATGTTTATCTTTTATGTACTACAGTAAATAACTTTCTTAGGTTAGGTTAGGTTAGTTTATTTGCCATTTGTACTTAAAGAACACATTGGAAAATGTACAAAAAGCTCAAAGTGTACCATGAAACAACAACTATCTGAATAATAGCTTAAAATGAGTAAAAGGGCCAAATTACCCATTCTAGAAAATGAAAATATATAGTTAAATAAGCTTGTGCTCCTTCTAGGACCTCTACAACTAATATGGCTGCACAATCAAAAGGAATTGTTTCAAATCACAAAGACTGCGTTAAGTGCAGTTAAGTTATAGAAAGCCCTCTGCAATTGACAAACTATCTCATCTTATATGAAAAAAATAACACAACTTCCTAACCCTGTATCTCTTATTAGTTATGCAAGGTCCTATTATACACAAAATGGATTCTTTTGAGCTTTAAGCTATGTTATAATCTAGTTACCTCATCAAAAACATATCTCAAGTTGTGTTTTGTTACATCATGCGTGTTAAGTAATCCTTGATTATTAGGCTGTATCCCCAAATCTCAAAATGCTCTGTTGCACCTTGTGTTGTCATATAGCGATAGTTTTCATGCTAACACCTCCTGTAGTTCAGTAGAGGGCTGAAATTATCCAAATGATTCTAGTGAAAGTATATGGAGTTTAAAAACACAGCGGAGCACTTCCTGTATTACCATATGACATCACAAGGTGGAACAGAGTGTTTTCTGTTTAAGAGAAGAACCCAGCCTAAATCTGCAGGGTTTGAAACAAGACACAACTCCAGGTTTGTTTATGATGAGGAAACGACATTATAATATAATATTATGGGTTTATTTCAGTCTTTGAAGTATAACTATGAAGTATGAACTAAAACCTCAACTGAAAACATTAATTTCTTTTTTTTTTTTCCAAAATATTGCAGCACTAACCAGTGCTCGTGCCACAGAACTAAAATTAAACAACAATGGAAATGCCAGCATACAACACAGCGTACCTTTTATTATTTAGTATTCTGAATATTTTATTATAAGTTCTTCTTTTTACCACTGTGCATCACTTATAGAACATTAAAAGCCAAATAAAAGCAGTAGTTAAATCATTGCCAGTGGCCCTGTGGTTAAACACAGTGTAATTCTCATTGGTAATTTCCATGTGGTCCAATAAAAGCAGTGAGAGCTTTTGTGCGGTGTTGTAAATGCAATGTAAAAGACATGTGCAAACATAAAAACACAGATGGAGGGGCTGCAGCAACAACGCAACAACTACATCATTATTATGTCTCTGAGGAAACCCTGTAATTATGACAGCTTAGTTCAAACAAGCAGCTTTTCCACAGTTATACTTAAATACAATATACTTAAATACACTGTTTATTTTTACCTGTGAGTAATGATCTTTAATGTGTGCCTTTTCTTAAAACTGAGAACTTAGTGTTGTTTTTGTAATGACAAAGCAAAACCTAATACCATGTTTGAAAATAATCATGATGTTTTAATAGTGTAGTTTTAACCATGAAACATTTGCCAAACAACACAGCAGAGTTTCAGAGTTTCAGAGACTTTTTTTTTTCTATGTTGTTTTTGCCTTTTGCATTCCTGTATTAAAACAGCAAATCATCAGCCTGTGTAGTTTTATACTATGTAGTTTGACATTTAATTTAAAAGTGCACATGGTAATTTTTCTGATGGAGGGCAGGAGGGCACATCACCTGCTTGTCTCCATGAGGATTTTATTGCTTTGCTTCAAATGTCCCACACTAGGACATTAAACTAATCTATTTCTGTGGAGACAAGCTGGTGAAGAATCCACGCCAAGTTACTGTGGAGAAGAGAACCCATTCACAGTCACAATGTAGAGTTTTTGAGTAATAAAAATATCTGCAATTGAGTAAAAGCATGTCCATGTTGGCTCACCCACCAAGTCTGATAGTGTACCTTTAAAGGTGCACTGCGTAATATTTCTGGTGAAGGGTCCGCCTCCCTGGAAATGTTATTGTTTTGTTTAGAAAGTTCCACAGTATAGATTTAACCTGTCTATTGCAAGGAGAAAGGAGAAAAGCAGGTTATAGCACTACATTACATTGCTGTTCAGATCTGTGGAGAGTTGCCCCTATTCTCAAAAAGGAATTATTGTATTTTGGAGCAATAGAAAGAACCCTAATGAATAAATGCTAGAGGCGCTTTATGTTTAATGCCATACTAAGGAACATTCCAAGGACAGCAATAGCATCTCCATGGAGACAAGTAAAGGGCAAAGTATAGTTCTATGTCGACTCACACACACTGTTGCCTTGTCGCTGTTGTTTTTGATTTATGGATCTGCATTGAGGACTAAGCACCACGAAGTAATTCACCGCCACAGTGCTCGGAGGCTAGGATTTAAAACTGGTGTTCGTGTATACAAAATGAACCGGGAAAGCGGAGTACCAGAAATGTATATAGAGCGGATGTACAGAGAACCAATCATAGCCCTTATTGTGTGCGTCGCTTCCTTTGCTGTCTGCATCGTTTCAATGCATAGTTTTGGAGGTGCACATCTGTCGTTGCAGAATCACATCAACACAGACTCTTTGCATTGTGACGAGACGATTTGACCCTGGAAATTGACCTTAAAGGTTGTATAGAGGATTTTCCAAGGAACGAGAAATCCAGCGACTGTTTGTCCTTTTTCAAATGTTGCGCATGCGTGAAATCACCCCCCCTCCCCTACAGCTCCCCACGTAGAAACGCCTCCTCCCTCCTCCTCCTTACGCCAGAAACAGGTTTGTTTACAGCCGGTGCGCTGCACATGACTTGTAAACAACTAACTACAGTGTTGGTTAGGCAAGGCGGAGAAGTGAGGAGTGGGGGGAGCGGGTGCGCGGACATTTCGTGCGCAGACAAGAAGTGAGGAGCAGGGAGAAGAGCGGAGCGGGGAGCGAGGAGAGGAGAGAGGAGAAGGGAGCGGTGCGCGGAGATTCTGTTCCCGGAGAAATGAGGAGCAGGGGGAAGAGCGGAACGGGCAGCGGGGAGAGGAGCAGGAAAGGGGTGCACAGGGACCCACAGTGCACCTTTAATATCATGATATTAAAATTGACTGTCTGGTACCCATATACACGCATTGAAAGATGTTGTTGTTCTAGTTATTTTCAATAATACTAATCACGGCTTGGAGTTATATTGCATCTTTCAATCTCTTGGTAAATTACATCCACAGACCTGAATGATTTACGAACATAGAGGTGACCTATTGTTGCCTTTGTTAGTTTGAATATCCATCCATTGAGCAGAAGAGCTATTTCTACATTTGATCTGATATGAGAGGGTTGATAGAAGTCAGTCTCAGAGCCCTGAACATTACTGATGTTGAGATAAGAGGCAGAAGCAGGCTGTTGAGTTAGCATTTCTACACAATCAGATTAAAAAGCAAAAATATGAGAGATGATTGTTGATGGGTCTTGTCTGTTGATCTCTAAGACAGCTGCTGTTTTCTTCTTTTAAGATTAAACTCATCATAGTTAAATGTGACTAGTATCTGACTTTAATTATTGTAGAAAACAGAAAGCAGCCATGCCAAGAAAACATCAGATAACTTTTCAGTTTTGCCTTATACTTCTTTCAAATCCAGTTTATGTTGTAGTTATGTCAAAACAGTTAACAGAAAGACCATTGCTGATAAGATTTATAAGAGATTGTCAACGGTAGGTTGATGACAAAAATACACTGTTTAAAATAAGGACTTTGAATCACACGGCCCCCCACGATTCGATTCGATACAATACACGATACATGGCTCGTGATACGATGTTATCACGATACGATACTTGTAATAAACAGTATATTGCACATGATATTCTGTGTTATGTTGCTGTTTTTAAGAACCAAATACATTTTATCATACGTTTCTTTGTTAAACCACTACTTATGCAAAGTTAATATGAAATACATCTATTTTAATTGTCAAAACAGTGAAAATATCAAGTGTATTGTTTAAACAAGTTTCCTTTCACTAAAGAAGCAACACAATTATAGTGCCGTGTCAAAAAAAAAAAAAAGCTAAAACAACCAAAAAATACTCTTGGTGATATATATTTATACAGCAGTCCACAATAACGATAC